ACACATAGAAAACCCTAAAGACTCCATCAAAAATCTACTAGACTTAATAAATGAATTTGGCAAAGTAGCAGGATACAAAATTAACGTCAAGAAATTGACGGCATTCCTGTACCAATGATGAACTCACAGAAAGAGAAACTGAAAAAACAATCCCATTTACCATCGCACCAAAAAAATTACGATACCTAGGAATAAACTTAACCAAAGAAGTAAAGGACCTATTTGCAGAAAACTACAGGTCATTGAAAAAAGAAATAGAGGAAGATATAAAAAAGTGGAAGCACATACCCTGTTCATGGATTGGAAGAATTAACATCATTAAAATCTCCATACTACCCAAAGCAATCTATAGATTCAATGCAATACCCATCAAAATACCAACGACATATTTCATAGAACTAGAACAAATACTTCAAAAGTTCATATGGAACCAAAAAAGACCCCAAATAGCCACAGCAATCTTGAAAAAGAAGGACAAAGTAGGTGGGATCACAATACCAGATATCAGGTTATACTACAAAGCGATGGTAACCAAAACAGCCTGGTACTGGCACAAGAACAGGCATATAAACCAGTGGAACAGAACTGAAAACCCAGAAATGGACCCAAGGCAATACACTCAATTAATATTTGACAAAGGTGGCAAGAGCATACAGTGGAGTAAAGACAGCCTCTTTAATAAATGGTGTTGGGAAAATTGGACAGCAACATGAAAAAAAATCAAACTAGACCATCAACTTACACCATACACAAAAATAAACTCAAAATGGATAAAAGACTTAAATGTGACCCGTGAATCCATAAAAATTCTAGAAGAAAATGTAGGGAACAAAATTTTGGATATCATACGGAGCAGAATTTTCACTGATACATCACCTCAGGCAACAGAAACAAAGGAAAAAATGAACACATGGGACTACATCAAACTAAAAAGCTTCTGCACAGCAAAAGAAACAATCATCAAAATGGAAAGGCAAACCACTGTATGGGAGAACATCATTGCCAATGATGTGTCAGATAAGGGGTTAATTTCTAATATATATAGAGTGCTCATACAATTCAACAAAAGGAAGACAAATAACCCAATTAAAAAATGGGCAGAGGAGCTGAATAGACACCTCTCTAAACAGGACATACAAATGGCCAAGAGACATATGAAGAAATGCTCAACATCACTAATCATCAGAGAGATGCAAATTAAAACAACAATGAGGTATCACCTCACACCTGTCAGAATGGCCGCCATCAACAAATCATCAAACAACAAGTGTTGGCGAGGGAGAAAAGGGGACTCTAATACACTGCTGGTGGGAAAGCAGACTGGTGCAGCCACTATGGAAAACACTATGGTGTTACCTCAAAAAATTAAAAATTGAACTTCCATTTGACCCAGTGATCCCACTTCTAGGAATATACCCTAAGAAGCCTGAAACACCAATCAGGAAGAATATACGTACCCCCATGTTCATAGCAGCACTATTTACAATAGCTAAGATCTGGAAACAGCCCAAGTGTCCATCAGTAGACGAATGGATAAAAAAGCAGTGGTACATATACACAATGGAGTACTATGCAGCGGTAAGAAAGAAAGATCTCTTATCCTTTGAGACGACATGGAGGGACCTGGAAAGTATTATCCTAAGTGAAATAAGCCAAGCAGAAAAAGACAAATACCACATGATCTCACTTATATACGGAATATAATGAACATAACAGTCTGAGGAATACGGTAGACCCAGAAACATGGAAGTAGGGCACAGACTGTATCCCTCAGAAGAGGGGTTGGGGGGTGGTGGGAAGAGATAAACCACAGAACTTATATGCATGTTTGCATGACCAATGGACATGGACAACTAAGCCGGGGACGGGGCAGAGGTGGAGTGGGGAGGGGGGTGCCAATGGGGTAAAAAAGGTGAAATATCTGTAACAAAAAAATAAATTTAAAAAAAAGGAATAAAAAAATAAAATAAAATTTGAGTTACAGTGTTCCTAAATTAAACACAGAGTATAAATACTCATATACATAATATAAATAGATGAACTATTTGGATGAAAGTGCCATTATAAATCGAAGTCAACCTATAACAACTTTTTAAATTTTTTATTTTATTATTTTTTTAATCCTCACCCAAGGATATTTTTTTATCTTCAGATAAAGAGAGAGAGAGAGAGAGAGAGAGAGAGAGAGAGAGAGAGAGAGAGAGAGAAACATCGATGCAAGGGAGACACATTAACTGGTTGCCTCACGCATGGCCTAACCAGGGCCTGGGACAAACTGCAACTGGGGCACATGCCTTTGACCAGAATTGAACCTGTGACTCATTGGTCTATGCGCCAACACTCTAACCACTGAGCCAATCCGGCCAGGACACAACTTTTGTTTTGGGAGAATTGTAAATAATTCAATGTCTGAAGTAGTCAAATCCCATTAAATAAAGATATTATTTTCTTTATAAGGCAAATTGTGTGTTTCAGTGATGATTCAAAAAGGAACATTTCAAATTACTTAAGATTTTGGAGAATCTAATGTCTAAAGTCCTATCTGTTCTCTGGTTTTCTCATTCCCCTCTACATTATAGATTAAATCTCCTAATATTGTTCTGAGAGTTGTTGTCTTCCTTCCTTCTGGCTTCACATCCTATTTTTAAATAGTAAATTTGTTGACAATTTGACACACAAAACTCTATGCCTATTTTCATCTATCTCCATAGTAACTACCTTCAGCACAATGTGAAACATTAAATTAAAGACAACAATATATAACTAAGAAGAAATTGTTTTCTAAGTACTCTGAGTCAGTCCAGTATATTTGCTATGAATTTCATCATCAACATCTTTGTAATGGAATTAACCATGCCTTTTAAATCACTCTTTTGGGAGAAATGACATAGAGTTTACATATAAAATTGTGCATTATCCTGAAGGATTGTTTAAGATATAATGGTAAAGACAAAAAAATTGCCCAAGCTCAAATCCAAAGGGAGGGCAAACCAGGAGGTCAGATGTGGCTTCCCATGACTTGAGCAAAACTATGACAGTACTTCCTCCAAGGAGCAATTCCCCTTCCCAGCAGGAAACTCACTGGAACAACTGAGTCACTTGCAAATTTTTATGTGACATCAACTCACTTCCACCACAAGCACAGTCCCATAATTTTTCAACATTTAAACCCACATATAATTATTTCATAGGCCTGAATGTTCTCTTGATAGCTAAAGATGACAGGTTCCAAAGGAGGTTTTGCCAAGTGACAGTAACCCTGAAGACTTCTAGGAGGGCTGACCACAACAACATAGTAACTTACAGGTTTATATGCCGGCTTCCCCAGCACCCATCATTATAATGTCCAAGTGTCGCAACACATCAAACATTACAACACAACAGACTGCCAAAGACTTACACAAACAACAAAGCCATGCTCTTTGGCAAATGATTCAGATAATTACAATGAAAATACACCAACAAGGTTCATAAACTGAAAATAATACTAAAGAAAATAAACGAAGCTTTACTGTGTAAGAAAAAATATACCATAAGATTCTGACCTATGAATCATTGGATCCTATAGTTGGAAAGAGCTTTAGAGGTCATCTAGTTCAGCCACCCACCTGATGACAAGTGGCCATTCAGCCTCTCCTTGTTACTGTCCAGTGCCCAAGGCTGCACTACTGCTATTGAGTCAAAATTTGCCTTGCTGAAAATTCCACTCACGACTCTGTTTTCTAGAGCTTTTAAATTAATTCTGCCAGTCTCTGTACTAGCTCTGTTGGTTTTTAAAAAATACATTATAATAATAATAGCAAGCACTTATTGAGTACTTACTACATGCCAGGCCTTGGACTAGGTATTTATATGAACCATCTTATTTATTTAGTGATTATAAATGTCAACTCTGGAGCCAGACTGTCTGAGTTAGAATTTTGGCTCTGCCATTTACTAGCTATATGACACTAGAAACATCATTTAGCCTCTCTGTATTTCCGTCCCTCGACTATAAAATAATAATGATGATGATGTCTACATGATAGGGTTGTTATGAAAATTAAATGCTAGTATTAAAGTGTTTAGAACAGTGACCAGCACATGATAAAGATTGTAAAAATGTGCTACTCATTGTTATTATTATCTCTTATAATCCTATTTTATAGGTGAGAAGACTGAGGTTTAGTAAAGAGTTTAGGCAACATAAGTTTGGGATTTTCTATTATCACTGTTAAGTCACATCTGGGATAGATTTATTATGTGATGTATTTGCTATTTCTTGTGTATTTGCTATTCCATTTAGCTTTGCATATTTGTCTATTTAAATTGATTCAATTCTGGGGAGTTTTTTCAGTGTTTGATTTGTTCTAAGAGTTTGGAACCAAGAGTAGATTTCTCCAAAAGAAGTATTCCTAATATTATATTTTCTAATGAAACAAAATCATCCAGTGTTAAACCAGAGATGGTAAATGTGTGGAAAACTATATTATAAAATCTTCAAGACTCATAAAAATCATTCAAGTCTTTGATTCAATAATCTTACTCATGGAAATTTATTCTAAGGAATAATTAAACAAAAAAAATAAGCTACATACCCCCCAAATCTTCCTTAAGCATTATCAACTCCATTCTCCAAAATATATTAGGGGCATGATTAGGTAAATTATGATCTAAAAAAACATGAAGGAAACTCATGTAGTTAATTAATAATCATTATGACATATGAAACATGGAAAGAAGTTTATAATAAATTCTAAAAATAACCCAAAGTTGAGTTATAATGGAATTATCACTATTAACATATGTATGCGTAAAAACAAAACTGGAAGAAAATATCCCAAAATGGAAATAATTCTGTTAAATCACTGGCTCACTTTAAATATCTATATAATAGGATACTATACAATAGTGAAAATGAGCTAAAACTACATGTATTAATATGAATAAAACTTTTAAAAAATCTTTCTTTTTCCCTCCCTCCCTCCCTCCCTCCCTCCCTTCCTTTCCTTCCTTCCTCACCTTGTCATATCACTGATGGAAGCAAAACAACACAACATGCTGCTGCTTCACCCAAAAGTGGTGTTTTAACTTTGCCCTTTCTTGACAGCTCATTGGGTCCTTAGCAAGAGGCCCAAGGAGTGCTTTTAAAAGGGGTATGAATCTTGAGCACAAATATTTTCAGTGAGATAGACATGACCTAATTTCATTTATACAAAGTTGTTAAAACTTATAAATACCATACCATATATTGCTACAAACACACATACACCCGTGATAAAGGTTTAAATATATGGATGGGAATGATAAACACCAAATGTAAGCTAGTGATTACCTCGGAGGCTAGGGAGAGAAATTTGTCCAGGGAGAGATTCACCAGGAAAGAGTACTTCTTAAGCCAGTTAGAGAGTAAACTGGTTATTTAACAAATTATCTTCTACCAGTGGTTCTCAACTCATCTGAGCAGTTTATTAAAAATGCAGATGTCTGGGCCCTACCACTCTAGATTCAATTAAATTAGTTTAAAGTAAGACCTAGGCATCAGTAATCTGAAAAGCTCTCAGTTGATTCTAATGAGCACCCAGAGTTGAGAACTAATGTATTTGTGGTATAGCTAAAATATATAATAATGATTAAAAATGACCTTTAATGTTGTTATATTGTTTTAGCAATAAAAATATGAGGTTGTAAATTTATAGATACATACATATACACATATTATACTCTGCTTAACTCATAAAATTAGAGAACACTGCAACTCTCCAAGCCCAGGGACCCGTGGACTCTCTGTTATCCACAATACAAGGAACCTAGCATGTGCATTATGCAAGAGTGGAAACTAAGCCCAAACAGATCAGGGAAACTACTGTTTAAATTGTCACGCCAGCAACAGCACAACTGAAAATGACACCCCTACAGTATTGTTTTCCCTGCAGAATGAATTTCACAAGAGCTCCCTTGTAGAAGGCAACTTCTATGCCTGTGGCTTCCTCCTCTGGGCCTCTCTCTGGCTGTAATAAAGGAGAGGAGAGAAAGAAGCCGATCTGTTATGTCTCTGCAAGGCAGGCTTGTCAGATTTCCATGATGCCAGGCCAGCAGCTACAGTGGCAGACTCATCCTGTGGGCCAACAAGGAAGATAAACAATTGCCTTCTGAGGCAATGGAGGATGGTCTTGAAGTCATGAGTGAAAGCCAAGGGAAGCTGTAGTGGCCATGTCCTGGCTTCAGGTTAGCTAGATGAGGAAGAGGAGCCAACAGGTGTTGATGACAGGTCTACTCCACCTGTTCACCAGCTGTTCACCCTCCTAAGCTCTCCCTCTTCTCTGTTCCTTTCCTTCAGACTCTTTGCATGGATTTCTGTCTTATTCTTCAGGTTTTCTTTAGAAACCAGAGTGGGGAGTGAGAAGAAGAGGATTGTAGACGGAGATGAAGTCATAACTTTTGTGGCAAAAAACAACAATGATTAAATAAATAAAATGTAGAAATAGTAGGGGAAAGCCAAATTAAAGAATAATCTTTGGTGCCCTTAAAGAGAAAAGAAATGCCACCTTTGGTGAAAATAACAAAACAGTGACTCACTCTTGCACTGGTTATTGCACAATCTGTCGTCATTAGGACCTAAGTTCTAACAGGACAATTGACACTTGAGGTCCTGTTAGTCCAAGGTCCCAGCATACCAAACTGTGGGAACATTTTATTAAGGTACTTGAAAATCCCACTGAGTCACAAAGAATTAAGCATTGATTAAAAAGGAAGAGACATATGGAATGAAAACAGCATTACTGAAATTCATTTTTATTAAATATCCCAAGATTTTTAAATGGGGATATTTCAATAAAATATCCTGGCTAAGAGAAACTAAGGAGTGTCATGTTAAAAACAGTGAGTTCTTTTTCTTAGAAAAGGGAATTTGTGTCAGCAAGTGGTTCTTATGGTCTATTTGTAGGAAGAAGTTCATTTGTAAAGGCTCATAAAAGAGGCCTCTCAGCTTTCTCTAGGCTGAAGGAACAGTGATTAACACGGAGATGTTACAGATGAGTGAGCATGTAGACAAATGTGGGCAGAAGCAGGAAGGTAAGGAATGCTAGCTATCACTGCTATTATGAGTTTCTTTCACATCAAGATATAAAATGGCATACAATTCTTTTTAAAAATGTATTTTTCCAGAGCTAATCATCCTAGCATCAGAAACAAAAGCTGAGGGAATAAGCTCTGTTCCCAGAACAGTTTTGATAATATTAATTACCTTGGTAAACAAACTCGGAAACAATAAAAATAAATCAAGCCATGTTTCAGCTCTAGTGAAAAGGCAGTGTTCGCCAAAAAGGCCTCAATCACAAGGCAAAAATTATTTTCAAACTGCTAAAAGAAGTCTAACAAGGAAAGAGAATAAAACAATTTTCATAAATATTGGAGTCATTTTTAAAGAAATGAAATGTTTTAATGACCAATGTGTCCTACTGATTCTCTGGACTATGTGAAGTTATCTAACGTGTATATGCCTTGCATGTAATTAGTCATTTATGCAGTCATCGAGTAAGGAATGCCAAAATGTTCGTATAACCTGATGTCTTCAGAAGCAAAGACCAGTCAGACAAGTTCCAGATAGAAAAATAAAAGCAAAAGAAGTAGAGACAGGGAATGCATAGAGAAGATAAAGCTTGTTAACAATAAGAAGACATAGCATTCTTGGTCCCCTGTGAATTAAAAACTCACAATCTAAGTAATTTAAAATTCAACAAATCAATCAAATACAAACTCTCCATTATTATGTAGGTATCTAAATATACTGCTTCATCCAGATCATTCTGGATTATAAATACGACAATAACAGCTTATACTTATGAGTTTCTTTCACATCAAGATATAAAATGGTATCTCATTAATCTTATACCACTGTGAGGAAAATCAAAAAAGTGATGAGAATTTTGACAGTAAGTATACACATTCTAGAACACAGTTTTCAAATCTTAGGGTACAAGTCTTAAGTCAAAGACCATGTTCAAGTTGTTTGACTTCCTGCAATGGCATTGAATACATCTTTTGCATAATGATAACGCAGATTTCTCCAGCCTAGTGCTATCAACAGGTAAAGACACCCAATTAATACCCAATTTATATCAGATTAGTCCATCTCAGGTTCCATTTGAGACCTACCCTCCCACTCCTGGTGGTGATGGTATTTACTGAAACAGCTCTAGCTCTACTATTCATTCATTCATTACTTTACTCATTCATTCATATATTCATTCATTGGTGATTTCAAGGTCTGTCATGAGGAGACATTAGCCACAATCCTTTAATCACCATCATTTCCTACAGTAAATACAATTTCAGTTTCTATTCAAGCTCCTCTATCTCCAATCCCAACCAGATGATCACCCCCTAAGCCATTTCTATATTAAAATTTTGGAAATGCCACTGTAATTATCTTTCATAAACACCTCTTTTTTTAAAAGTTATTTTTGTTCTTTTTTTTAAAATTAAATTTATTGGGGTGATAATGCTTAATAAAATTATACAGGTTTCAAGAGTACAATTCTATCATACATCATCTGTATACTGCATTGTGGTGTTTACCATCCAAAGTCAAGTCTCCTTCAGGTGCCATATATTTGATTCCCTTTCCTATCCCCCCACCCTCTTCCATCTGGTAGCTACCACACTGTTGTCTGTGTCTACAAGTTTTTATTTGTCTTTTTTATTTGCCCATTTATTTTTTCAATTTTTTATTGAATTTATTTGAGTGATATTGATAATACAACCATACAGGTTTCAAGCGTTCAACTCTGCAACATATCATCTGCACACTGCATCGTGTGCTCACCACCCAAAGTCAAGTCTCCTTCCGCCACCATTTATTCCCCCTTTGCCCTCTTCCACCTCCTCAACCACCCACTTTCCTTCTGGCAAATCACCATACTGTTGTCTGTGTCTGTTTTTTTTTTTTTCCCTCAAACATTTCTTTTTCAGGCACTGGTCGGACACTGGGAATATGTCTAAGATCAAGCTCTGCCCAGGTTTTTATCCTCAGGATCATAGCATTAGGGGAGTATCTGCTTGGGCTGAGGTAGGGAAAGAATGGAATTAGGAAGAAAATTCTAATTTCTCAAGATTCTTATACAGGGAATGACCTAGAAAAGGAACCAGGGTGTGGAAATTCCTTATTCTCAATTTAGCAAAACAAGAACTATAATTGAAGTAGATACTCACAATGTGCTTATCAGAAATGATAACTAACAATTATTGAGCATGTAAAACATAAATAGTTCCTGATTTCATGCATCTAAATATTGATTATGTCTCTAATATAGAGCAGAACACTACAGGTTAAAACATTTTCAATCAGGCAAATTGTGGCTTTACAGAGAGGCAGAGTAACCTGCTGAAGGTCACACTGCTCGTAACAAGAACAAGAGGATTCTAACCACCATTCTGCATGTTGATGCCATTAGTTTTACTTGTCCCCACATTCTGGAACTCTTTACAATGTAATAACAATAATTACTTTGGAGGAGTCCTCTGTGATATAAGGAAAATAATTTTGTACTGAAAATTCTGTTCTTTTCCGCCTCTGCTAATTAGCTTAGTGAACAAGGACAAGGGTCCTCACCTCACCACCTCTCAGTTCCCTCATCCAAAAAAATGCTGACATGGAGCTTAACGGTCTCAAAAGTCCCTTTCATTTCTAAAATTTAAAGCTTTAAGAAAAATATATTCTAAATTAAGGACTATATATTTTAATTTAGGAGTATGTCATAATAATTTAAATTATAAGTCTTGGTCTATAATAACATGTTTCAACTTGAGTATACCTTAAGGAAAACCCCACAGGACTTTTATTTCACAGAGGGCTTTAAAACATTGAATTTCGATATAATCGCAACCTAAAAATGATCTCATTCTATTCATCTTTTTCAACAGGATGAATCCAGCTCTGGCAATGCCTTAGACTCAGGAAGCTCCTCTCTTGAGGCTAAGCAGAGAAAAGCACTTTCTGAGTGGCATCTGGACACCTCCTTTGACACCTTGACATGTAGGTAGTTGTGACATGCTGGTGTTGATGGGAAATGGAAAGTAGCAGAATGTGAGAGGGTAGGAGTGAGACAGGTGGTGGCAGAGGAGAGGGTGGGACCTGCCGAACAGAGTGACACCTC